GGTATTTTGGTCAATTTGTTTCATGTAAAATATTTTTTTGATATTTTTCTTATATTCTCATATTTTTGATGAACACAAAATTTTTTTTAGGCCAATAAAATTTGTAAAAAAAAATTAAAATTAAAATACTATTGAATATCTATGAGCGTCGGATCGGTCCAGATTGAATCTGGGCCGTTGAGCGTATTCTCTACGGTAAGTCCGTCGACGTATCGTAGCATCATCCATATATATATATATATGCGGTTTGTATAGAGCCTAGGCTCTAAACAATCAAATTAGAGCCTACCTTCAAATAGTATCGAGAAATGTGGTTTTAATATTAGAAATCTTTGTGATAGCCTTAAAATACATTTTTATATTTATTTATAAAGTTTAAAGCTTCAAAAATAGTGTAGATCGACTGATCTATGAAAACTTGAAGATCTTAAAAATTGACAGTTAAAAAAAATGGGTTACAAAATAAACTATTTCCAAAATTTGAAATCCATTTTTTTCTAATGTCCATGCATCTTGATATCGAGATGATCAATTTGAACATATTTGGGCATCAAAACAACCTCTTCTAGTGAAACTTTTGAGGTAGGCTCAAATTTGATTATTTAGAGCCTCAGATCTATATAATTTTATATATATATATATATATAGTAATGATGCTATGAGACCCTCCTATACTCATGTATGTAGGACCCTAAAGGATCATCATTAAATTGACACTGATCTCTAGAAAAGTCAAGTCTCACACCCATGTGATAAATTTTTTAGAGATCTGTGCTAAATTTAATGGTGATCCTTTGGGGTTCTACACACATTGGTATGGGAGGGTCTCATATGATCATTACTATATATATATGAGTATTTTTTTAATGTAATTACCATTTTTGGACATGCATTGACCTTAATTTTATATTTCAAATTTTTTTAAATAAGTATTTTTTGTCATTAGAAGGGTTAAGATAAATATTTCCATGAGAAACTAGTGGTATTTTACTAGTGCTTAAGAAGCAATCGTTGCTCCATATGATGATGTCATACTTCATGTGATGGATGTAATCTTCCAGTATAATTAATAAATGTTTCTCTTTCTATAAAGAATTTCTATTTTATTATTGATTAATTATCTATAATAATCTTAGACAAAAAGCGCTACTACATGATGGAGTAAGGGTATCAGGTGTCCAAAAATATTGAATATTTTAAGGATATACTCATATGTCGGAATAACCTAACATAACTTTAAACTAAAAGACCCGGTTTCTATGTATCCATATAGAGATGAGGCACCTCTTAAAAATCTATTTTTGCGATAGATTTTTGTACTTACTTTTTAAGGACATGTAATCTCTAACATGGAAATCATGAATATGAGAAATAAATAAATTTTGAAAATTAGAAATAATAATTCTATTAAAAAACATTGGGACCGTTAGTTTCAATTGTTTTTAAATAGACCACCTATATGTATCCTTCTTTAAGATGGATGCTTTATACCTCTATACCGCAAATGTAGAAATGTGGTCCAACTCGCACGAAACAATTTTCTTAAACTAAATAACAATTTATTAAACAAAGTAATATATGGGGCATATATAATTTTACCAAGGATGTGATTTCCATAAGGCCTAGGCTTTATGAAAAAAAGAAAAAGCCTCTCCTCAAAACCTCATCCAGAAAACATTTTAGACATGAGAAACTATTATGATGGCTCTAAAATCTATTTCCATCATCAATATAAAATTTGCTATTCAAAATGATGCACATCTCGTAAGTCTATGAACATTTGGAAACGGATCTTAAAATCGATATTTTTTTAACACATCCGTAATGATCAAGATCGAGATGATCTATTTGAAGGGTTTAAATTACTAAAAAAAAAATTTCCAATGAAATTTGAGATGCTGCTTTACTTTTTCCCTGGCCTTACTTTTAACCTCTTCCTTTTCCCTATATTGAAAATTTCAAATACTTGGCTCCCATTTCTCATTTATTTTGTTTCATTTCTGTTATGTATTTTTAGCATTGTATAATAATAGACTCTTCAGTCTATTTAGTAAGGTACAATAATGGGCAAAGCCATTAAACGAATTGGTCCATTCAAAATTACTATTTTGCCCCGAAAATTTCTCCTATCCTTCGGGTTTACCAATTATACAAGGAACGTTGGAGTTTTGGCAACGCTTACGTCACCACAAGAACATAACCGTTGGCTCCAACGGCTAGACTTTTAAAAGAGAAGAGAAGTCACAGAGCGTAGGCCTCTTGCCCATTTCATTTGAAATACCCTTTTTTCTCTCTCTAAAAGTCAGGGCTTTTCTGGTTCATTTCTCTCCCTGCTTTTCTTCCTCCTTGGGAATATCACCAGAAAGGCTCTGATCAAAGGATTAAAAGAAATCAAAAGGGAGAGTCATATAAGAAGCTGCAATAATGGTGTTTGGGGGAATACCAGAGCAAAAAAAGGAGGCAGGAGGGGTGAAAGAGGCAGTAAAAATTATTGAGGAAGCAGCCGTTAAAGGTTCAGCTGAACCCACAAAGCCTTTGGAGAAAACCAATCAAGTTTTGGAGAAAACCACCAAAGGTTCAGTCCAGAAGGCTGAGCCATTGGAGAAAGCATCTCAAGTTTCAGAGAAAAGTAATCAGGTGTCAATGAATCCTGTAGAGGATGATACTAAAAAATCAGATGAAGCCAATGGGACGGGTGCTGTAAAAGAAACTGTGAAGGCTTTGGTGGAAGCTGCCAAAGTTTCGGCCGAACCCATTAAAGCTTCAGATGAAAGCAATGAAGTTTCAGAAATCACCAAAGGATTAGTTGGAACCATCAATGTTTCAGATAATACTGCTAAATTGGTTTCAGACAAAGTGATGGACGTCTCAGGAGAAACAGGTGAAGTTTCAGAGAAAACCACCCAATTGCCCAACGAAACCACCAAAGTTTCAGACGAAGCTGTCCAAGTTTCAGGGCAAGCCAACGAAACCCCTGATGAGAAGGAAGAACCCAAATCTAGCACGAACCATGATTTAGATGTCGAACATGAAGCAAAACCAGGAGAGAATATCGAGGTAAGCTTGAGCTCTGCTTCATTCAAGGAAGAGTGCAGTTTCCTCTCTGACCTGAAAGAATCAGAGAAAAAAGCTTTGGCTGATATGAAATCCAAGGTCGAAGAAGCCATTCTCAAGAATGAGCTTCTTAAGGCCAGGGATTCACAGATTGAGGAATTGGGTTCCTCAGATGATAGTGAAAAAACAGATAAACCAGAGGCTGAAGTCCCCGAAAAATCTGCAGAGGAGAAAGAGAAAGCAGAGGAACCAGAGAAAGAAGACCCTGAAAACTCCCATGACGAGGAAGAGAAACCCAAGAAACCAAAGATTGAAGCCCCAGAAAAATCTCTCACTGACGGAGAGAAAGATGAGAAACCAGAGATAGAAGTCCCAAAAACAACTCCCGATGAGAGGGAGAAAGCTGAGAAACCCGAGGAAGAAACCCCATTAAAGCCCCAAGAAGAAATTAAAGACATCTCTCTATGGGGAGTGCCATTATTGCCAAGCAAAGGCTTGGATAACACAGATGTGGTCTTGCTCAAGTTTCTCAGGGCTAGAGAATTCAGGGTCAATGAGGCTTTTGAGATGCTTAAAAACACACTCAGGTGGAGGGAGGAGTTTAAGACTGATACAATTTTGGATGAGATATTGGGGGGCGGTGAGCTTGATTCAGTGGCTTATATGAATGGAACTGATAGAGAGGGGCACCCTGTTTGCTATAATATTTATGGGGTTTTCGAGGACAATGAACTGTATCAGAAGACCTTTGGATCAGAGGAGAAGTGTGAGGAATTTTTGAGGTGGAGGGTTCAGCTCATGGAGAAGGGGATTCAAAAGTTGAGCTTTAAACCAGGGGGTATCTCTTCACTTCTTCAGATCAATGATCTCAATAATTCGCCTGGACCATCGAAGAAGGAGCTTCGAAATGCTACCAAGAAGGCCGTGAACCTTCTCCAGGATAACTACCCGGAATTCGTTGCAAGAAATGTAAGGACATGTGCTCTTTCTCTCTTTCTCTCTTTCACACACTGGTTGTTTGTATTGCCCTGAGAGAGTCGTAAAACTTTCCATCCTTGGCATGCCTCAGAACTTGACCAAATTTCATTGCTAGTACGTGTTTTAGATAGCCTAGTTTCTATGGAGATTGATTTAGCAAACTCAATGCAAATTCTCTGTTTTTTGTGCCATTGGCCTTGCCCTGATAAAGCCATGAAACTATGAATCCTTGGCATGCAACAAAACTTCGAACAAATTTCCTTGCCATTACGTGTTTTATTTATGAAGCTCAGTTTGTCTTAATTTGACCAAATTTCATTGCTAATACGTGTTTTAGATGCAGCCTAGTTTCTATGGAGATTGATTTAGCAAACTCAATGCAAATTCTCTGTTTTTTGTGCCATTGGCATTACCCTGATAAAACCATGAATCCTTGGCATGCAACAAAACTTTGAACAAATTTCATTGCCATTACGTGTTTTATTTATGAAACTGAGTTTGTCTCAAGGTTGATTTATCAAAATTTATGTGCGCACCATTGGCATTTCCCTAAGATTCATAGAACTATCAAGGCCTTGGTATGCCACAAAACTTTGAGCAAGTTTTATTGCCATTATATATGTTTTATAGATGAAGACTTGTTTCTTTCAAGGTTTACTCATCAAACTGAACACGCAATGTAAAATATTATGATATTGGCATCATTGGCATTTCCCTGAGATTCATAAACCATTCAGCGTTGGTATGCACAAACTTTGAGCATATTTTATTGCCATTACTTGTTTTAGATGAAACTTAGTTTCTCTAATATTTGATTTACCAAATTGAATACAAATTCTATGATTTTTGCATTCCCAATGTCTTGATATCTTCCATTTAGATGCATGATCCAGTGTGACTTAAGATGGCCTTGAGCCTTGGACTGAATTTCATAAAGAACTAGAAGTCGGCAAAAGGTTTCAAGGCACGGCCTGATATTATATCGATTATCCATGAATTCCCAAACATATTGAGTTTCTAATGTATGTTTTTATTGCTGTAGATATTCATCAATGTTCCTTTCTGGTACTATGCATTCAGTGCACTGTTATCTCCATTCCTAACACAACGAACCAGGAGCAAATTTGTCTTGGCTCGTCCAGCCAAGGTCACCGAGACTCTTCTCAAGTGAGCTCTTCTCTCCAATACATTTAAATTTGATATAATTTTTACAAGCATATATCAATAGGAGAACTGAAATCTATGTTAATTAACCAAAGAACATGTAAATCTGAGAGAGAAAGACAGTATAGTATTAGAGGTAGCAACCCTCTAAGTAAGTGGTTAATTCATAGAAAAGATATTAAAGAAAAAGTCCATGTTCTGCTTCCTTAGATACATTCCAGCTGAGAGTATCCCCGTTCAATATGGTGGTCTGAAGAGGGAGAACGACGAAGACTTTTCTGAGGCAGATGTTGTTTTGGAGGCTTTTGTTAAGGCCAGCTCTACAGAAACAATTGAAATCCCTGCAACAGAGGTACTTGCTCTTTCAGTTCTCCGTAATGGTAAATAGGAGTTTATTGTGAATCTTGGTACTACTAGCATTTGGAATCTCGTTTTTGGGATCAACTTCTCATGTACATGGTGTGCTAGTTAGTCTCATGTACATGGTGTGCAGAATAATCAGCGTTCATGTTGATGATAGGTGTGTATAAATAGAAAAATGCGAGAGAGAGAGAGAGAGAGAGAGAGAGAGAGGAGTGAGTGGAAGGACGTAACTAACTAAACCAAAAACTAAACTAGTAGTAGGAGAAGTTAATTAGTAGACCGACCTAGTTCGTACGTACGTTACTACGTA